TACAATTCCGCGGTGCGCAAGCAACCACGCAAACTGATGGGTTGCGCCATGAATCCATGCGAAATAAAATCCTAGAGTCCAGTTTCGAGGGGAATATAGTTCAAGCACTGCCTGAGCTGCCAGTTGCGCAGTGGCTTAGTTAGGGCCTCAAAATTCCGATCCATGTGAAAGCCCATACGTCCAGATTTGCCTGGATGCTGCCGTCAAGTGCGCTTTGACACACCGCTACAAAGTCTGATTATATGTAGAGGCGAAGCAGCCTCAAATAATTAACAGTGAATGTACAAGGTTTGGGCCAACAAATTAATGAACGCATGGTACTTTTGGCTTATTCAACTAACTTGAATATTTCACAAACCCTGAGTTTTTGATAAAGCTCGTAAACTCAAAAACATCTTGTTACGGTAGAAACTTGCTTCCAAGTCCTTGCCTTTTGGGAAGATTACGGGTCTTAAAAAACCTATACTTCTAAAAATTCGCCGTTAAGCACCTTTTAAGGCACCGTTCCCCCAAATCTTCGTATTTAACTTTTTGCCCTTTTTCACACCTCTTACGCCAGCTGAGTCCGACATGCCTAAAAAGGAACGAAAATCTCAGACTATTGAGTTCTGGACGCCCTCCAGAATTCGCAGTACACGAGCATTCCTTTCGCCTGCCGTCCAGCCGCGAATCAGTTGCGGGCCTATCGCGAGACAGAGACGCATTCTTTCATGATCCGTTCGATTTCTGCGCGTGCTAGGCGAAGCCACTGCGCGAGTAGGGCAATTATACAGTTGAGAACCTCGAACCCTGTTTTGGACGAGCGGTGCCTTTGAGTCGGATTGTCACGCGCAAACGGAGGGATAGGCGCGCAAGGGCGGAGACGCGAGTCTTTCAACAGACGTGTGTTGTTTTCGCTTAACACTGTTTCATGTCGTCTTCAAGCCAGGCATGTGATTTGCCACAACCTCTAGCTGAGCTAAGCTTTCTGATACTCCATGTGTGGTGAGGTAATCCAACTTTAATAATCTTTCCGTATTATCAGCACTACAGCTACAGGGTGAGGCAAATGAGAGCCGGATATTTTTTTTGTACAGAGTTGGGGGAAAGACTTTGAACTATTTTTGATTTTATCGTATGTTCCGAGTGTTCAAAAGTCAAAAGTTCCAGCTCTTGTAGCGTACCTTTAGTTTTGTGGCTTACCTTTTCCTAGCCAAAAAGTATAGCACTGATTCTCAGGCATACTTTTACATAGAAAGTAGTGATTAGTATTGAGTGAGTTTCCAGCAATTTAGAAAGGAACGAAAAAATTTGCGCACGACTCGCTTTGTTACCGTAGCCTTCTGCTACTCTGTTTTAGTACCCCAATAGATGCTCCTAATTTTTGAAGACTGTTCCATAGTAGCTTCTTCTCCTTCTTAACCGCTACAGAGCGCTGCAAACGTTACCATCTTCATGGGCATCGTTTTTAAGGCATCCTTGAGTTCAAAGCCAAATCTCGTCTCCCCCATCTCTTCCCCTCCCCCTCCCCCTCCCTGCCACCCACTTCTATAGATAGCCATCATTTCTTCTACTCTGGAGCTTTTCAAAACTTTGAAGCTTTTTTCTCTACAAATTTCTTTACATCCTTCGGTCTAGCCTTGAGTTCAGGGTTTCCTTTCTCCAGGTCTGTTCTTGAAGATATTGAAAATAGTGTATTTTATCTACAAATCCCTCCCTCTCCCCTTTACCCTCTCTCCGCGATACTGTTGATTTCAGTATTTTTTCTGCAAATGAATTTAAGAAGTTAGAATCCACTCCCAAAATTTGAAGTGCACCATTGCCCTCCCTAACTGCTAAGTTCCCAAAAAAGAACTGTGCTCATAAATTAAAACTCCAGTCGCTAGTTACGTAAAACTCACCACTGCTCGAGGTTCCGTTCACTAGACTGCCTACGGAGGTGCCCTATCTGCCCCCCCCCAACAAAGGTAGGGACCGTAATTAGGCTGTTCGTGCCGGGACCAGATCGCGATTTTCTCACTGTCCTTTGACACTTTTCGGACCGGTGCTGCAGCACGCGGCTTTGGAGGCTCTTTTGAACGTTTAGAGGAGGTTTTCTTTTTGTCCAAACTTATCAAGTCAAAGGCCTAAGCTCTTCCTTTTCAAATGACGCTGTAGAGCTGTGCCGCCGGCATTTGTCAAGAAGTTATGAGGGACAAATCGAACAACAGTCGCAACGAAGCGCGACAACGCGAACGACGCGTGCTAGTCGCAACTTTTCTTTGCTCCTGTTTCAAGGAGGAAAACCGTAGTTCCAGTAATGATGTGTACTGTGTACAACATAGATACTTTTGGATACTTTTAGAAACTGAGTTTTTGTTCCTATCTTTCAAGAAAGCACAAAAGTCCCTCTCAAGCGACAAAATTCAAACACTTCGAATTCACTCAGAATTTTGGGTATGGAGCTTATCTGACAAGCTGATTACAGATATAGCACACAGTCTATGAAATGAGGTCCCTTTGTTGGCTAATGGCTGAAAGTACACTGTTTTTCCAAACATAAGCAAGTAATCATCATCATTCGTCTTTCAGAATCCAACTACAAGGGTTGACGATACTGCATGGATATCTTCATCATATGTTCCACAACGTAGACCTAAGTTCAGCTTATCAGTCGATCGAATGTTCAATCAAAAGTAAGACAAGCTGACAAGCTGAGTTCGTCGGTCTTGCATTCTTGTCGGTCTTTGTCGGTCAGCTCTGATGTTTTGTTGCTTGATGTTTTGCGTCGATGTTTGGAGTCACGCGCAGGAGTTTTCAATTTAGTTAAGATTGAACAAAACTGGCCTGAATTTCCGCATTGATTTTCGATAGGAAGCTATAAAATTTTGAAGACGTAGTGATCATTTTCATGGCTCTTTCCTGGCTATTGGACTGCACGTAGTAATGAAATAGAATACAAGTTTCCTATTTTTGACATTCTGACCTTCCTTTTTGTCTCTTCGCATCAAGCTGCTCCATCTTCTAAAGGAGCTAATTGTAAGATGGTTAACTATCTTTGTCCAGATTTAGTCTCAGCAACATCAAAACAAACACAACCTTTAAGAACCTTTGACAATGCATATATATATATATCTTTGGAGAGGGTAAGAGTGCAATATACAAGCGAAAGAACGTTGGAAATAATTCAAGACCCTTGTTGCTGTGAGGTATGAGGTGGCTGTATGAGATGGATGCCTTCTTAAATGGTCACTGTAGTATAGGATGACATCCTGGCTGCATGGTACAGGCGCCCAGCACGGTTGGCCGTAGCGATCGGGAATATCGACTTGCTGCAGTGGATAGCTAGAAAAGAAGGAAATCAAAGGAAAAAGGCTTATCCCGGATTATCAAGATAACTGACCTTTTCGTGACCATATATGCAAGAGACGAAAGTTATCGGCGAATACAGTGCTGGCCAAAACTATAGATCCACTATAAAAAACTGCCGTAGTTCATCTGCTTTTCAACGAATTGATCTGAATTTTGGTACAGCTGTGTGTTCAACAGGCTTCCATCAGTGACCGGAGCGGATCCCGCTTTCGTTAGATTATTCAGGAGAAAAATCAAAAATTTCGAAAAAAGCAGGCTCGAAGGTTGGCCAAAACTATAGATCCACCTAAGATTTTTGTCCGCTAAAGTAATTCTCGACTTCCAAAGTCTTTTGTGCATATACATAGTCGAAAGTCAAAGCAGTGGCTTTAGTCCAGCTGCGACATACTTTAATAAGAAACGCTTATCTGCTCTTTTTACTTAAAAAATACTTTCACGCGTATTTTGTTCCCAAGAATGTGTTTTTATGGCTAATTTCGCAGTTTCTTGACTGGTTTGGAAGCGATAGGTCTCCATCTATCTTAAAGATGCTCAGCAGTGTGAGCAGTAGAAAAAATTCGAGTTTTCGTATTCAAAGCGCACCCGACACAGACTTAGCCGCGGGCCTGCGCTCGAATTTTTGCCTTCAAAATTGCTGTACGCTATTTTTGCAAGCTCAAAATAATGTAGAAACATTATTTAGCATTATTTACACAAAAGAAGTTTGCAAGTCATAGTCACGATTGTTCGCGAAGTCGCATTTCAACACCTTTTCAAAGCATAAGTCTTGCGGTGTGTTCGGCAATCTCAAAGTACTTACTAAATGGTACCTTCCTTGAATTTTGCCATTGTTTAGCTGCTAATTAGTGAATACACCCTCTACTGTATGTTGTCTTGTGACTCACATAAGCATTATGATCAGAATCAGAAATAACTTTGAGGCTTGTTGCAAATCACTTTTTTGCAGGATGAAGTCCTCAGTTAGCATGCATAATGGGATCTGCATAGACCTGCAACCACTGCATACGCACTCTAATACATACCAACAATGTCATTACTCCAGTTCACGCTCATGACAACAATCCAGAAAGAGTTTGAAGGGAAAAATTCGAGCGAAGGCCCGCGGCTAAGTCTATGTCGGGTGCGCTCTGAATACGAAAACTCGAATTTTTTTCTACTGCTCACACTGCTGAGCATCTATAAGATAGATGGAGACCTATCGCTTCCAAACCAGTCAAGAAACTGCGAAATTAGCCATAAAAACACATTCTTGGGAACAAAATACGCGTGAAAGTATTTTTTAAGTAAAAAGAGCAGATAAGCGTTTCTTATTAAAGTATGTCGCAGCTGGACTAAAGCCACTGCTTTGACTTTCGACTATGTATATGCACAAAAGACTTTGGAAGTCGAGAATTACTTTAGCGGACAAAAATCTTAGGTGGATCTATAGTTTTGGCCAACCTTCGAGCCTGCTTTTTTCGAAATTTTTGATTTTTCTCCTGAATAATCTAACGAAAGCGGGATCCGCTCCGGTCACTGATGGAAGCCTGTTGAACACACAGCTGTACCAAAATTCAGATCAATTCGTTGAAAAGCAGATGAACTACGGCAGTTTTTTATAGTGGATCTATAGTTTTGGCCAGCACTGTAGTGACAAACTAACATGTGGTAGACGTAATTTTGTACTCAGTTCATTTCACTGCTCCTCTCTTTCTAGAACCTGAAATCTTCATCGTCTGCGGATTGCGGACAGGATGAGGAGTGAAAAAACTTACTAGTTTCCGACTCAGGTCTAAATCTTCATGCAAGGATTTCGATATACTAATAACTTTTTCAAGACAAGCACGCAGATCTTCGAGTTAGATTTGCTTGTTCTCCAAGCACATCTGAACAGCGCCTGCATATTATTTCACAATCGAACAAGTGATTTGAATGAATGCGGGATTACCGATAAAAGGAGAAAAGAATTGTGCACAATACGTAATTGAAAAACCAAAAACCCTTAACGTAAGCATAGTAAAATGAGATGGTTATATGCTAACCTGCAGTATCTCTACAGTCACCTTCCAGTTTCTTTGACGGTGAATTGTGCTTTTGCGAGTAAAGATGGACAATTTCCTGACGTACAGAGTTCAGCCTGAATTAATAAAAAAAAGTTTTTCTAATGCAACAAAAACAGCTTGATTAACCTACCAAATCAATCAACTTTTCAAATTCCCTGCTTGCCGCTTTCGCTTTTTTATATTTTCTTTCCTATTTCTATTCTCTTTTCATGTAATTGCGCAATTATGTAGGGCGGCATTCATTTACTTCGAGGCCTGCCTGGCTCCTCTGAAATCGAGTAACTCAAAAGCAGTGCAAAGTGAGCGAAAAGTGAAGCGAGAGAGGGGGCGAGAATTGCCGAGCATATCGAGAAACACATAAAAAACTGAGATGACAGCTCCTTTAGAAGAGGAGCAGCTTGAGGCAAAGAGACAAAAAGGAAGGCCAGAATGTCAAAAACAAGAAACTTGTTTTCTAACTCATGACTATGTGCAGTCCAATAGCCAGGAAAGAGCCATGAAAATAATCATTACGTCTTCAAAATTTTATAACCTCCTATCGAAAATTAGTGCGGAAATTCAGGCCAATTTCGTTCATTCCTAACAAAATTAGGAACTCCTACGCGTGAGTACAAACATCGACGCAAAACACCAAGTAAGAAAACATCAAAGCTGCTACGATGTTTGTACTTACGCGTGGGAATTTCAAGTTTTGTTGAGATTAATCAAGACTGGACTGAATTTTGCACTGATTTTTCACACGTGAAGATATCCAGTGAGTACTGCAAAGTAAATGACATGAAAATATGAAACATATGCACCAATTTGTAAAGGAATGGCTGAAAAATGCGAGACTTGAGCACTTTTTGACTTATACATTCCACCAGTTCATTCGAACACCTATGGAAACAAGAAGTTTCATGACACGTACTGGAGGCACAAGAGCAGAAACAATGTAGTGGTGTGTATGACAGATGTCAGAGGAGATTAGCCGTGGACGGATGAAGCGACACCATGCCAATGACGAAGTGGGGCGACTCAACAGGCGACAATTGGCTGTGGGAGGAGCTTGAAGTCAGAAAAGCAGTCTTCGGATTAGCGAAAATCCAGCTGTTGAGTACTGGCGGGATTCATTGAGACGGGGCATGAAAGTTTAAAGGACCATTGAGAAATCGCGATCGGGTCCCGGAACGAACGGCCTGATTACGGTCCCTGCCTTTGTTGGGGGGGGGGGCAGATAGGGCACCTCCTGCCTATGTCTAGATAACGAATCTCTTATCGATAAACGAATAATCGAAAATTTACTACTTTCAAAATTACAATAGAATTTCCCAGAATTATATTCCCGTATTCGCATGGCCGTTCTTATTAGTGATGCTAACTTGCAACAACCATTAACTTATCCTATCCACAGTTGAGAATTCAAGAACAGATTAGCGCATGCCCAAAAATATTACTTCAGTCGTATGCACTCACATTCTAGATCGCGCTCATAATCTTTTTGAGGTGATGTTCAGAAATTTGGCCTTTTCCGAATAGTTCAGCACTAAGCAGCTAAAGAAACTCTATGTAATCATTTGCAGCCTACGCGAATTACGACCCGATAGTACCTTCCTCTCCGTACTGGAAAATTCAAAAAGTTCTGAGATGTCCACTATATGCAGACAGAACAAAGTTTCTTGAGCCGTAAACCTGAAAAGCTTCAGAAGGTCTGAAACTTTTCAGTTTTAGGGTTCAAGAATACTAAACAAAAGTTAATGATGGTTGTCTCATGCAAGCAATTACAGATTCTATCATACGCGAACTGCGGCGGGAAGCAAAGATTTTATGCTTGATTTTGTGAAAACTACCAAAAGAAAGATGCCTTCGACGTCAGTGTTGTACTTTGCTGCATGGGTTGTATAGAGTATGATGATTCGTATAAATTAGGTTTACGACAAAAGAGAAATAACATTTTTCCCTTTTCTCGCATAAAGAGAAACATATGATGACAACATGGTATTAGGGAATGTAGTTTACAAACTCAGGATCCTACGTGTTTGCTGTTAATATCAAAATCTCTTGTATTCATTGAAGTAAAATAGTGATGACTGACGAAACTGAACTGATCCGTCTTACCACCTACAGCGTTGCCAGTGTTTCATAGACTGCACTTAGTTGGATAAACCGTAAACATATCAAAAACCAAGACTTTCGTATATGGTCGCGGTGACACCATCCTCTTCGTAAGTCGTGATGCGAAAGGGCAGCTGTACTTAGTGCACTGTGCGTAGCTCATTTACGAGAACACGACTGCAGTGGCAATGCATCAAAGATCACTGCTGGTTACAAACATCCACGATGAGTCACATGGGGGTGCTTGCGCTTTATAGAGAGTATGATGTTAATTATATGGATTTGCTTCTTACACTTTGAAGTAAAAACCATCCAAAACTGGACTGTAGCTTTATCCCCATCGAAGATATGCTTTCTGGAACGAAGCGAGCGTTGGGTGCGAAGATGCACAAGGGCAGAATGGCCGACCAGCAGATTGCGCGGGTTACCAAATTTCACGGTCAGCATCTTTTCCACCTCGCATCGTTTCTAGGTGAACGGCACCCAGGAGTGTCGCGTGAAGTTCGTGAAGTTCTACTTGTGAAGACTTTGCAAAAAAAGAAATGCCAATGATGGTCCTCTTCTATGTTAAGAACAGAATCAACATCTGAATAATTTGTTTGATGGCTTCGCTCTTCTTCAACGTCAGAGCAACGTCCGTTATCAACGCATCCATCCATCCTCTGTGTTCCAACAGAACGATCGTATCTTCTACTCGTAGTATAGATTTGTTTCGCAGAGAAGATATAAAAAAGATCGTGACGATGCCCGAACCACTGCTGCCGGTTCAGGGCTGAAGCCTTGGGAGATCAGCAGAGAGGACCAGGTTTGGGCAGATCTACTGTAACTACTCTGTTTTCGCTCCAGGTCCTCATCATTCTCCGCTACATGACCACGAACAGTCATCAAACTGTCATAGCTGACTGTTTCGGGGGTTTGTCAGAAGGCTGTGAGTGATGTTATCACCCGGGTAGTGGATGCTCCCAATCATCCAACAAGAGAGGCGCGCTTCCTCAGCTTCTGCCGGGACGAGCGTTGGTGCTTGCGAAGGTGTCGAGAATTCGCTAGATTTCGAGATTCACAAGTAAGAACTTCATGAACTTCGCGCTGGGTGTCCTGGGTGCTGTTCATATCCTGGAATTGACGCGAGGTGGAAAAAGATGTCGACTGTGAAATTTGGGTAACCCGCGCAATCTGCTGGTCAGCCATTCTGCCCTCGTGCATTGCACCCAACGCTCCTTCGTTCCAGAAAGCATATCTTCGATGGGGATAAAGCTAACAGTCCAGTTTTGGAGGGTTTTACTTGAGAGTGTAAGAAGCAAATCCATATACTAGGTTGGTGCAAAAGTTTTTCTGCACCAAATTCAAAAATTCATAACTCGTTGACTTCTCGACGAATTTGTACGATCAAAATTTTGCTTAGAAGAGGAACTCTGCTCTTTGCATCTGTATTTGTTCGTTAATGTTCACAAATGAAGGAGATGGAAGCTCAAAACCAAAATCACTTAAAATTTGAATTTTTCGTGTGGGGTCATAAAAAATCGGAAACTTGCAACAAAAATCGGAGCAGTCGGTACTGTAGGTTATTTCACCAGCTCTTTCTAACAGTGTAAAGTTTGTGCCGATTGAGCGTCTCTATGGAAAGTTACGATTTTCGAGCAAGCAATACAAAAGGGCGAATTTGATTTATTTTGGCATTTTTCAGGGAAATCATAGCTTTTCATACAGACGCTCAATCAGCGCAAACTTTCCATCGTCGAAAAGAGCTGGTGAAAGAACCTACAATGCTAACTGCTCCTATTTTTGTTGCAAGTTTCCGATTTTTTTATGACCCTACACGAAATATTCAAATTTTAAGTGATTTTGGTTTTGAGCTTCTATCCCCTTCATTTGTGAACATTAACGAACAATTCAGGCACAGATGCAAAGAGCATAGTTCCTCTCTTAAGCAAAATTTTGATCGTACAAACCCGTTGAAAAATCAACGAGTTATAAATTTTTGAATATGGTGCGAAAGAACTTTTGCACCAACCTAATAATTAGCATAAAAGAATATTTGGGGAGTCCGAACTTACGATGACATCAAAAATAATTCAAAGTCTCTCCCCCTACCCTTTATATGAAAAAATATCAGGCTCTCATTTGCCTCACCCTGTAGCTGTAGTGCTGATAATACGGAAAGACTAATAAAGTTGGATGACCTCAACACACATGAAGTATCAGAAAGGTTGGTTCAGTTAGAGGCATGTTTGAGGTTGTACCAAAGCACATGCTTGGCTTGAAGGAGGCATAAAGCAGTGTTAAGCGAGAGTTCAACACACGTCTGTTGAAAAACTCGCGTCTCCGCCTTTGCGCGCCTATCCCTCCGTTTGCGCGTGACAATCCGGCTCAAAGGCACCGTTCAAAACAGGATCTATAAGATTTCGACGTCTAACAGATGCGGGGTCCTCAACTGTATGGGAACGGCCATAGGTTGTCGATGTTGTCGGTGTTGTCAGTGTTGTCGGTGTTGGCGATGTTGTCGGTGTTGTCGATGTTGTCGGTGTTGTCAATGTTGTCGGTGTTGGCGATGTCGTCGGTGTTGTCGATGTTGTCGGTGTTGTCAGTGTTGTCGGTGTTGTCGATGTTGTCGGTGTTGTCGGAGTTGTCGGACTCAGAAACAGTTTAGAGAGCGCGCGAAAAGTGGAGGCTATCATGAGGTCCTACAACGACCGGCAACCTCGGCAACCCCGACAACCCCGACGACACCGACAACACCGACAACATCGACAACATCGACAACATCGACAACACCGACAACCTATGGCCGTTCCCTATAATTGCCCAACTCGCGCAGTGGCTTCGCCTAGCACGCGCAAACCTGAAGAAATCGATTGAACTATGAAAGAATGAGTAACAATAAGTCACCTTTTCCTTGAAAAAATTGAAGAACAAGTAACGTTGGCGAAAAGAGAATAAAATGAAAGAAAAAAGTGCCTCTGTTTTTCAAACAAAATTCAGAGCTACATCGATCAAATTTCTAGTATCGATCCTTACTCACTTCTGCTCCTTCCGTGTGTTCTAAAACCCTCGAACTTTTTTAGCAGTTTAAAAACATAGCTAAAGCACCGAAAAGATACTATAGATTCATTAAAAAAAGGTTAATAAAAAATACTATGCGATTCAATTTTCCTAGAGATTTTCTCTAGTTTCCAAAGTGGCTGAACTCATTTGCTCTTAGCTTCTTTGGAACGTTTTTATTTGTTTATTTATTGAGAAGTACACACGAGGTG